AAAAAAAAAATAAAAATACAAAAATATTTAGCTTGAAGAGGGTTAGGCCTACCCTAAAATTAAGGAACGCTCGAACTCGACACGTGATATCGAAATGGGCGAAATCGCCTCTTGATGTCACTAACTATCTTGACTCTTGACTCTTGACTTGACATTTATTGTCATGGTCTAAAACCATCCACAAAAAATATAATGTGGCAATTGATTAATTAATTTTAAAAAGTTATTTATTTATTTCCTTGATGCTACCATTTTAGTGCTCCCTCTTGGATCGGACTAGGTAGTCTCTTCGATCTCAAAGATGCCCTTTACATCTGATTGCTAATTGCATTTTTATTACTGCTAATTAACAATTATCCATGAGGGAAAGACTTCCGACCTGTCAAATGGTGCATGTGATATATCAATCGCAAGCTCTTGATGAGCAGATTGCGTTGGTGCATATTTTAACAGCGCGAAAGATAAGAAAAGAAATATTAATTTTTATGGTAAAAAGTGTGGTTGTAGCCTAGGCACCCATGGGGTAGCGTGCGCGAACGTGCCTTTTAATCGCGAAACATGCTGCATTTGGACATTCGTCGCACGTTTAAGATGCTTTCCAAACGCACAGAAACTGTATCCATCTGACAATGGCTTGAAGCGAAGGTTCGAACCATCGACGCTAGATGGCGCCAAGGTAGTCCCTGAAACGTGTCATTTCCTGATACAGTTGGAATTAATCGCCAATACTTTCTACAATGTAGGCTATCTTTCTTCACATAAACCAGAGCGGGAGATACGTGAATTCTTGAAGAAATTTGTTATTAGAGGTAACCTAGTAAATGTCCCAAGATGGCGGAAACACTTGTAACTCTCGAGGTAGCGAAGGCCTCTCCAGAGACATCTAAAAGCACTCCATGGGTATTCCTGACGGGGATGTCTGACACCTGAATATGAGATGGATAAAAACTAATATTTTGAATTTGGATTGCCACGCGCTTCTCCACCACACTCTCCCAGACAATGTAGGATAGTGCCATCGATCCTACCGATCAGCAACATTTAGGCACTCAATCCAAGCCACGTGAGCCACGAGACTTTACTTAGACTGAATGCACTTTAAGTGATGAAAAGAACCTATTCAAAACGTTACTTGTATGTTGGATGAATCCTAAAAAGCTTTATTGAACTGTTTCCCTGGAATTATTTAATTCGCGTACTTCCAGGAACGCATAATTTGAACTGCTTTTCATTGCTTTGAATTTTGAACATTGAAACAGTTAATAGAACGTTTTCAGTGGCATTAATGGAACGCTGGCCATAACTTGAATGAAACGTTCATTGAACAGGTTCGGGTTTTACTTGGGTGGTGGTCTCTGAAGATCGTGGTGAGTCCTTCCACGGCAACAGAGTATTTCCTTTCCTTCGGTTTGCCACAGATTTTACCTGCCACTAGTCGTAGGGCAACTTTTTGATAACAGCCTCATGGGGTGAACGTGGAGTCTAATGTAGGCATCGAAACGTTGAACCTAATCCTTCGTTGGAACGTCCTTCCCCCCACCGACCACCCCATTCCTGATCCCGTCCTTTGCATACCTCTGAGAACGATGCGGTAGAGTCCCTGGAGACTGCAGGAAGCGTGGCAACATGCTTTTAAGGAATGCATGTACGGCTACCTTTTACGCTTTTCCATCTACAGCTTCCCCTTCCCAAGAAACCTACACAACCTTCTTATCTCATTCCCAATATCCTTTAGTTAAAGTTCTCCTTGCTTTCTTCTCTAGAAATGCACTGTACAATTTAGATTCATAAATCTGGATGCACCTCACAACTTTGGCATTTGCATTCGACTCAATCCACCTAGGTTGCGTTTGATACTCTCAACCTGATGTGAAAAATGTGCGTCTGCCCTTGATGGAGGCGGTAGGCAAGAGCAGAAATGTTGCGAGACGATTTTTACCTGAAAGTGAATAGAAGGATGAAGAGAAATAAATTTTAGATACTCGCTGGGAATTTCGTTCAGATGCAAGATCCACAAAAGGGGTCAGAACTTTCTTGTCGATTGTACATTGCGTTAAACTTGCTAGTTATAGTGATTCTCTCAGAGAGTAATTTTCGAGATGTGTTTCAATGTTCACAGGGAAAACGATGAATGAAGCAAGTTCAAATTGCTAAGCTATTTTCACATTGTTATTTCCCTACTTTATGTGCTAAAATTAATTTACACCGTCAGCAGTTAAACTACTTAGTTTCTCATATGCTCATTGGCAAGTAACGGAAATCGGATCCTCTCAAAGCAATCAGTGTTCCCTTACGTGCTGACATTGGGGAACCCTTCGCGTCTGATCAAGGGAAAAAGTTGATGGAATAGAAGCGCTTCTTGCAGCTTCTTCAAAAGTGAGGATGTGCATCAATCTGGGGTAGTCTGTTGGTGTTTCACGACTGACAATGGACTTCCACTGCAAGGGTGCTGTAATCCGCACTCTTTTTCTGATATGTGTAAGTGACTAACTGTAAGGCAATCGTTGAGAAATTCATTTCCCTGGCGATTTCACCGCCTCTTAGTGGAAGATACGGCAGTTCTTTAGCGAGTTTTGCTTCTTGAATCACGTACAATTCAATCTCAGAAAAGCCCCTTAAAACGCTTTTTCTTACCAATACTGGATTTCCCTTTTTTACGCTGACATCGCGAAAATGTAACTAAGGAGAGTATCGGGGGAAAAAAATACAACAGGTTTAAAGCGTGAAAAAAGAAGACTCCACTTATTATTGATTCCCCAAATTAAAAATGGGGAAATACTAATTTTAGCGAACGAATTTGTGGGGCATTTGCAAATGTGCAAAAATAAGACGTTTCACTGTATGTTATTGAAGGGAAAATAAATGTTCTTTTTGTATTCCCTCAAATAATGGGAAGTACATGTGGCCGTATGAGGAAGCGTACACAAGATGAAGAGCATGTTCGCAATTGTGCTCATTCTTCATATTCACAATAGGGAACGGCTTGGATTTTCTGACAACCACGCTCCATATTAACAGGTTTCATTTCGGGTTTCGAAAGTTTCATTTTAGGAGTTGGACGGGAGCGATAGTGACAAATTAGCTATTTTCACCGCTTTTGAGTGAAAATTCATATGATTGAGGTATGAGAGAAAACATTTCCGAGCTTCAGAAGAAATTTGGCAGACATAACGAAGAAGTGCTCGCCAGTTTCGATTTTGCTGCATTCTATGTCGACCCGAAGGCCAAGCCTTTTATCCGTCATCGTCCATATCCGTTGGAATGAGAGAAATTCTGTCGTTATATTGTCATTTGCTCCGTAACCCTCTCCGTATATGCCCATATTTCCTCGCATTTGAGGCAAGCACGTCCATTCATCGGCATCTCCGGCTTTGCGCAATGAAATTTCACGTGGATTGTATTAACGCCTGTAGTAATATCGACAATCGTGCTACGCGTTCAAATCTTCGTGTATAATTTGTATCTATGCACCATTGAGCTTGCCACTGGTTTAAAAAAAATAATACTTATTATTAATATTATCATTAAAAAAACTGAAATATTGCATTCGTCGTTCCACTCATCCGATTCGGGCACCACTTGAACTCCAGGCGAGAGAATAAAAAAAAAGGCTCAGATGTGGTGCAACAGAATGATATAGTATGAAGCCATTCCGTCGCGTTCCACGAGTCATCCGCCCTTTTCCCTTCCCGTGGATATGGGGATGCATGTGGATTCGGGAATCGTGCGACGAGGGCTCTCTGGGCCGCCGACGTACGAGCAACAACTCGCTAGGAGAAGCGCATTCGCTCGTACTGGGAAAAACTTTGGGGGGAAATCGTCTGAGTTTTGCGATGAAGGCACCGACGAGATGCCTCACCGAATGTCTCTGGTTCGGTGGCGTGATGGTAGCACGCCCGACCGGCCATCGGGAGGCCCGAGTTTTATTCACGGCCGTTCCCCGGGCTTTCATTCGTCCTCTCTCCCTCCATCCTATCCTTCTGTGCCATCCTATCCTTCTGTGCCATCCTATCCTTCTGTGCTTAACGTCGCAGTTCAATAGAAAAAAAAACCAAATGTGGTGATTCTTTTTCACGGAAAAAAAAAACTTTCCGTGAACTTCATCGGCCATTGCAGTTGGAAAAAGTCGCTTAACGACGGTGATATCGCCATTCAAAGGAAAATGAGAATGGGGATTCTGCGAAGCGAATTTCGTGCAATTCAGCCTGCAATTTTCTGTCGTGTTATTGTCTTTCTTTTCGCAGGTTCTAATCGGGATTTCCTTTTCGATTTGACACAAGGGAATGAATCGGTGAATTATCGCTTCAACAAATGAAAAAAAGCGTTTATTGCCAACTCAAATGAGAGTTTTAGTCTCCCGTTTTTAAGGGACTTCAAGGACCACTTCAAGCGACTTCAAGGCTAAGTCGGGCCGCCGCGTCCGCAAGTTGGAAAGCAAAATTCCCGCGAGGTCCGCGATGCGAAGCGAAGAAGGAAGAGAAAATCGCGGACGGCGGAATTCACTGGCGATCGTCCAGGGCGCGGAGGCGGACTTCCGCCTCGCGGTCCTCCGAGGCGCGCCTGTCTCGAACGGGCGAAAGCTCCTGAAAGATAATTCCACATCATCTAAAATCGCGGACGGCGGAATTCACTTGCGATCGTCCAGGGCGCGGAGGCGGACTTCCGCCTCGCGGTCCTCCGAGGCGCGCCTGTCTCGAACGGGCGAAAGCTCCTGAAAGATAATTCCACATCATCATTTCCATCTCGCAATATTTCCATCATGCAAATATGCTTAGGAGCAATCATAGTTGCTTATGAGGAAAGTATTTATCGAAACTTCAAATTAAAACTTTTGGTCTCATCACTCTCATTGGAGACGTGAAGAGATCGAGAATTGCCCTTGACAAGTGAAAGAGCGACCTGGAAGCAGCCTCTCAGAAATGAGGGAAGATTTCCTCTTTTTTTTTAACATAACTTTTTACGGCATGAGCGAAAAGTCGCAGTCGCATAATTTACTCGAAATGCTTCGAGATTTGGCTTGCAATGATTATTTTCTCCATCCCTACCGAAGTACGATTTAAAGTCTGGGCACGCCATGCTGACCTTGACGAGGTCGTAACAGGTCGGAAATGCGTCTTCCAGTCCTTTACCCCGCGAGTCTTTTCTCCTCGCTTTTCCCGGCGGTGCGACCCGGAACGACCGGAAGGTCGTTTCGGTCGTTTCCCTTTCAGCGAAAGTGTCGAGAGCAAAAAAAAAAAAAATTCAATATTTCCCCCTTTTCTTTCCTTCAAGATGCGAGCCTCACCCGGAAGTGGGAGTAGACGACGAGGAAGAAATGGATCCCGACGGGGTAAGACAGGACGAAGAGGACGGCCACGAGGACGAGGAAGACCGCGTTCTCGGGGGCGAGGGCGAGCACGAGGACCAGCAGCGCCGCGGCGACGATCGGTCCCGCGATCAGCGCGGCGAGAGCGATGCACAGCCACGGGATCATCAGCTTTCTTTTCGCCTGAAACGGGCGACGATGACGTTCGTGTGGAAAGGGGGAACCGAAATCGAGAGACCGGCTCGATCTGCTTTTTACTTAGACGACGCGGGAAAGCAATGTCATGACCCATTTTTCTTGCAACGTTCTCAGACGCAGACACGATACAAAGAAATTTCATTGCCGATTCCTAAATTCATGCTATGTGAAACTGACTGAATGATTTCGGGGCATCGGGACATTGGGGATGGCGTAGCCGTAGAAAACAAACCTTGCGAATTCCATGGATGAGAAGGGAATCACATACGATCCACAAGCCGGAGAGGACCAAGTTGGCTATCGACAGCTTGCCATACACTGAAAGACAGGGAAAATGAAAATTCATGAGCGAAACCTTCCACAAGGAGCACCCCTCTAACCAGGGGCACCCCTCTAACCAGGAGCACCCCTCTAACCAGGAGCACCCCTCTAACCAGGGGCACCCCTCTAACCAGGGGCACCCCTCTAACCAGGAGCACCCCTCTAACCAGGAGCACCCCTCTAACCAGGAGCACCCCTCTAACCAGAGGCACCGGACACGAAACGAATGGAAAGCGTGGAAGCATGGAAATGGAACTGACCCCCTTCGGGGAACCCGTCCACGTAGAGAGCCCCCAGCCCGTGCTTGTAGTCCACGCCTCCCACCAAGAAGACCAGACTCATCAAAAGGGAACAGGATACATAAATCTGGAAGAGAGATGTTCGCTTGAGACGGCTAGGGAGCTTCGTCGCCGCGAGAAGTTCTCCATATTTTGCGATGCCATTTACGGTACGATCGCGATCTCGGCTCGGAAGAGACCATGGAGGTAAGCACTTTCGGAGGCCAGAAACCCCTGAAAGTACTCACCTCCTCCCCGACAAACGTCATGAAACGTCATTTTAAAAAAATTCTTCAATTTCGGCACGGAATTTGCGATTCCTTACAGATGTTTCCCATCCACGCCGAAGGGCGTATGTGGCCAATCAAAAAATCGATGTCATCTTGAGAAAAGGGTGAGACGTTTGCACCCGAGGATGACCATACAACCACGAAGGGTGCTGGACACCACAGTGAGCATTCTCACCCTACTTTGATGGCGATCGTGCTCACCCTACGTTGATGGCGATCGTGCTCACCCTACTTTGATGGCGATCGTGCTCATCCCTAGGGTGGCTGTCCTGGAGTTACGTCGGATTCGGCCTTTCTATCACCGTCTGGAACTTCTGCTTTTTTAAACACGATACTTATTGTGCCAATTTCATGGGATGAGGCGAGATCAAAACGGGGGTTAACGGGCGATGATCGATGCGGTGGGAAACAGACACATCGAGGTAGTCCGTTCACAGCCTTCGTCGATGCGGTTCCTGCGGTTCCATATCGGCCGAGCGATCCTCCGAGAACTATTTAAAACGGGAAGAGCGTGTTATCTAAGTCTCGTATTTTTACCCATCGATCAAAATCTGCTCGTACGAAATGCAAATGCTGAAATGCGGAAAAAAAACACACTGAGAATTAAGTACCAGAAAGACCAAGATACGAGACGCCTCTAGGATATCGAACAGAATGATTTGGGTCATCCGGTCGGCGTTGCATCGACAAACGTCGGGCAAGACATCTGCCAGTTATTGGAACGAGGGAAGGTATAATATTTGAACAAAAAATATTTGAACGTTGAAAATTGTATTTGAACTTCTGGATACCTTCGACGGAAAAGGCGCTCCGACCCAACGATACTCGGGATAATTCAGAGCCAGGGAATGGAGAAAGTTCACGTTGTCATATGACCATACCTCCAGAAAACACACGAGTGTCTTTAAAAATGTCAATTAAAGGCATGAAAAAGGGCTTTAGCAATTGGAAAAATTAAGAGATTAAATGAAACTCACCTCCTCCTCCAAGGAGCATCGCTTGCTGGTTCGTTTCCGAAGGAAACGTTGGACATCGTTGGACATACGTTGCTCCAGGGATATTTTTTTTCTCATGACCGAGCCGCCCGTCTCCACGCCTGATGATTCGTCCCACCGCGTCGGATCCGTGTTCGTATTCGTATCGCAACCGGCATGCACCTTCGTGAGGTCGACATTCACGCGGCCCGTTCACAAACTCAGTATCGTGTCTTCGATGCACGAGGAGATGACACCCCGAGACGCAGTCGCCAAGAAAGGGTTCCGCGATGCACTCGATCGGATTCGGTACGTCTCGTCATTAGCCTCTTCGGTTGCCACATTGCACGGGTTCGCCCCGGTCACATATGAACACACACACGGAAATAACAAGAAACTCATCGCTCACACTGACACCGAGAAGTGAAAGGAAGGCGTCCTCCACGAAAGGCGGGACACATCCGTCTGAATGAAGCCTCATCTCTTGACTCGTTCCTAGGCAACCTATGAGATTGGAGTCGCAAGGACAAAGGAGGTCTCTTCATTCCCTCGAGCGAGGGAATCGGAGGGAATCCCTCTTTCCTGCTGTCTCAGCGTGGAGTCTCGCGTTCGCGTCTTTCGGCACAGTGTGACCTCTAAGAAAAAGAAATGGATATCGCACGACCGTAGGAACAGTATCGGCAGGCATTCTGCAAACGAAAGCCATAGGTATAGCGACTCCTCACCGTTCACTCCAGTGGGATACGTCCAATGCTTCATCTCGGATTTCTCCAAAAAGCTTTCACGATGGAAAGAAACTACAGCACATCAGGCGCAATCGCTCCTCGGAAAAATCCGCGGGCTCCTCTGAGTGCTTCGAAGACTCCGTCCTATTTTGACGGCATTTGACAGCGTTTTCACCCTAAACTTCACGATAAGCAATATCGAGGGACGGGGAACCGGGAACGGCTCGCAGTACGATGCAAACCACGCAGGTGTCATTGGTCCGTAGAGTTTGGAACGGGCCAGTGCGAGGTAATGGAATAGGTACTGCAGGATCATCCGAGCAGTCCCACAGAATCATGAAGCCTGCTCCACCGCGACACCTTCATCGCCTCTTCCACATCGCTCGCGGTCGTCTTCTCTACCTTTAAGCAGGGGTTTTCCTGGTCAACGTTTGTTCGATTTGCTTTATGCCCTGGGCCTCACAGAAAATAGGTCTACTTTTTAAAATTTAATTTCGACCTAACATTAAAGTAATTTTTTTTTTACCGTGATGTAATTAAATAAATTCAGGATGTTTCGGGACGATCGGAGATCCAATACCCGCTAAAGAAACCCTCAGCGTCCGAACGCCACCGATCCTACGAAAGCATCCGCGGAATCGTCCAACTTCTGGAACCGCGACTGCCTCCCATCCAATCGGAGGATCCACTCCGCCTGCCCATCCCGCGCCTTCTCTATTAATTGGCTTAGCTCGAGCCGTCCGTCACCTAGTGGCTTAGCCGTCCGTCACCTAGTGGCTTAGCCGTCCGTCACCTAGTGGCTTAGCCGTCCGTCACCTAGTGGCTTAGCCGTCCGTCACCTAGTGGCTTGGCTGTCTCGACCTTCATCGGAATGCGACGCATATTTGTGCATGCCGGAAAAAGCAAACAGATTCGATGGAATATGGCCTTCTGCCCGCCACTCTTCCGACTGATTTTGTTTTCGCTGTTCCTTTTTATGTTGGTTATTTCAATTTGAAGCCATGCAGCCCAAGAAAATCTGTGAAGTCGTGGTCGCCGAGTTCTTTAAATGCATTTATGTATCTATATGTACTTATCCAAGTGATGACTTTTGGTGTCTCAATTACCTATGAGAAAATGCGGAAGCGGAGGACTCCAACCAGTAGCCTTTGTTCCCATGTTCACTCCTGAAACTAGACCACGTAGAAGTCAGAAGGATAATAGTGTATAATTTGTAACTATGCACCATTGAGCTTGCCACTTTTTTTTTATTATGATAAAAACTGAAATATTGCATTTGTCGTTCCACTCATCTGATCGGGCACCACTTGAACTTCAGGCAAGAGAATAAAAAAAGGCTCTGAGGTGGTGCAGCAGAATGATATAGTATGAAGCCATTCCGTCGCGTTCCACGAGTCATCCGCCGTTTTCCCTTCCTGTGGATATGGGGATGCATGTGGATTCGTGCGACGAGGGCTCTCTGAGCCGCCGACGGACAACTCGTTAGAAGTGCATTCACTCGTACTGGGAAAAACTTTGGGGGGAAATCATCTGAGTTTTGCGATGAAGGCACCGACGAGATGCCGAGTTTTATTCACGGCCGTCCCCGGGCTTTCATTCGTCCTCTCTCCTCCGTCCTATCCTTCTGTGCTTAACGTCGCAGTTTAATAGAAAAGAACTAAATGTGGTGATTCTTTTTCACGGAAAAAAAAACACTTTCCGTGAACTTCATCGGCCATTGCAGTTGGAAAAGTCGCTTAACGGCGATGATATCGCCATTACTACTTTAAAGGAAAGTGAGAATGGGGATAATGCGAAGCGAATTTCGTGTAATTTAGCTTGCAAAATTTCTGTCGCGTTATTGTCTTTCTTTTCGCAGGTTCTAATCGGGGTTTCCTTTTCGATTTGACACGAGGGGATGAATCGGTGAATTTTCGCTTCAGAAAATGAAAAAAAAAGCGTTTATTTCCAACTCAAATGAGAGTTCTAGTCTCCTGTTTTTAAGGGACTTCAAGTACCTAAGGGACTTCAAGGCTAAGTCGGGTCGCCGCGGTCCGCCAGTTGGAAAGTAAAATTCCCGCGAGGTCCGCGATGCGAAGCGAAGAAGGAAGAAAAAATCGCGGACGGCGGAATTCACTTGCGATCGTCCAGGGCGCGGAGGCGGACTTCCGCCTCGCGGTCCTCCGAGGCGCGCCTGTCTCGAACGGGCGAAAGCTCCTGAAAGATAATTCCACATCATCNTGAAATCTCTCGACGCGATCGAGCGCAAATACCTTACTATCGCTGAACCAAAAGCGATGAATGGACATCCAGTCGCTACAACAACAGCAAAGAGAGGCATGCGAGGAGGGTCTTACCCACCGCGGAGTCACCACAATGTCACGAATAAGAAGAACACAAGAGACGATAGCCTCGAGCGATCGCCATCCTCTCCTCTGCACTGGCTGGCCTTATCCCGCTCGGGACCATCCTCCCTCCCGCACTAGTCGTCCTCGCAGCTAATACGTATGTCGGCTCCTGAGGAACGCGGAATGGGGAGTGTGGACCTGGATGCGGAAGGGCCTCGGTGGAATACGCGTTACGTCAGGAGCAATCGTAAAGAGTGGATGGCCTTGGTGGAGTGCGTGTTGCGTCTGGAGTAACCGTAAGGAGTGGATGGCCTCGGTGCAGTCTGGCTGCTGCGTCAATTGTCATGGAGTTATGAGAGAGACGGAGGGAAGTGTTGTTCTTCGGTGGCCGGCATTTCTTCGGTTTAGATTTAATTATTTCACTTATGTAAAATGTAAAATGGTACTGCATTTAATTCCGAATATCGGAATCTGTTTCGGCGACGGGCACCGCTCAGCGGATAACCAGTTTGAAGTCATGTGACGGCTGTCGTAAATATTTACAAGGGCCGCGGTAATAGGTAGTAGCTCTTTGCCTTCGGGGTAAACAACTCGCATGGTAAGTCTCGCTTAATATAAGAAGAAGATATCCATATTGATAGAGTGAGAGGAAATTTTCGCTTAAAGAACATATATTGATCGATCCTCTTCCCTAATAATAATTATGCATGTATCAGCAGTCGATCAGAATTCATTGACTGTCAATTAGTCAATTTTTAGAATATGTGAAAGTTTGAGTTAACATAGGAAAACATTCGAAGTGCAGGATGAATCCATAGTGTTATTAGGCTGATCAAATGGAGCATTAGAGAAATTCTAAACCTGGATTCATTACAAACATTTTATTCGCCGTACGTGGTTTTTGGAGTTGAAAGTTCAAAAGTATTCCGAACTTAGAATAAAGGTATCCTTCT